TCTACCTCATATTATATCTTCCTAATCTCATATCTTATCTCTCTCCTATATATCTCTATATCTATTCTCTATCTATTCTATCATCTATCTATACTCTCATATCTATCTATCTAGCTCTCTATCTATACCTCTCTCTCCTCCTCTCTCTCTCGCTATATGTCGCGTCTCTCTGTATATATCTATCATATGTCATAACTATCTATGTCAGCTTATATAATTATAGCTATATGTATATCTATATCCTCTTCTCTATAATAATGTATATCTCTATATAATCTCTCATATATACTCTCTCTTATCACTCTATATCTCTCCTCTAACTCTCTATCTCTCTATAGCTCTTATCTACTATCTATCTCTATTATATATATATCTATATTATATCTCTATCAGCTCTAAGTTATCTCTCTATAGTCTATCTTATCTATCTATCTCTCATATCTTTATCTCTCACTATATATTCTTATCTCACTATATATAATCATTATTTCTCTCTCTCGCATTCTATATCTCTATCTCATATCTCATCTACTACCATATCTATATATATATACTCTCTATCTATAATCTCTCTATACTACTATCTCTCCTATCTATCTCTCTCTATATAGTCTTATCTCATCTCTCTATATCTTCATATCTCTCTCTCTATCTCTATCTGTATCATCTATATATGTATCTCATCTACTATGTCATCTCATATATATGTATATCTCATATCTGTAATCTCTACTCTGTGTATATATATCTGTGTATCTGTATAATCTCTCATCTGTATATCTTCTGTCTATCCTATAGTCATACTCTCTATCAGGTATCTATCTCTCTGTACTCATATTATATGTATATCTCTACTGTATATATACATATCTATATATATCTCTCATATCTCTCTGTCTATATATCGTCTCTATATTGTATCCATCTCTCTATATATATATATTATCTATATACCTCTACTATATATCTATATCTCTATATCTCATATACTATATATCTATATAAATCTCTACTCTATACTATATATATAATCTCTATCTATCCTCTAATATCTCTATCTATATCCTCTATATCTCTATATCTAAATTCATCTCATACTAATCTATATCTCGATATATCTCTATATATATATATATATATATATATATCCTCTCTATCTCTCTATCTAATATCTATCCATCTCTATATATCTCCTCTCTCTTCTTCTCCTCTACTCTCTCCTCATATCAAGTACTTCTCTCATATATTACATCCTAACATATCTATATCCATATCATACATCTCTATACATCTCTATCTAACATATATCTCTATACATATAGATATATACCTATAGATATATACATCTATCCTATCCATCTAGATCTCTACCTATATCTCTCTCTATCTCCCCCTTCTATCTACACATATATATCTCCCTATCTATATCTACTATATCTATACATCCCTCTACGGCTCTAGTATCTCTATTCATCATCTATATCGATATATGATATATCTACTATATACTATATCTCTAATATATATATATAATAATACGATCTCTCTCTCTATATACTCTATCTCATCATATAATCATACTATATTATATCTCTCAAATATATATATATCCTATCTATCTATACTCTATATATTCATCTATAATAGCCTATATCTATATCTCTATATATCATATATCTATATCTCTATATAATATATCTCTATACTATATTCTATAATCTCTATATCTCTCATATCATTATATACTATCAATCTATCATACTATCGTCTATATCATATATCTCTATATATAATATCTAGTAGCCTATATATCCCATATATAATCTACTCTATCATCTATATAATACTATCATCTATGCTCTCTTACCTCTATCTCTATCTCTCCTATCTCTATCTCGCTATATATAATCTAGATTCTCTCTATCTATCCTCTATTATCTCTCTATCATATATAGCTATCATATATAATATTCTATATAATATTATATCAATATATATATATATACTATCTAATATATATCTATCTATATCCTCTCTCTATATCTCTGCTCCTATCTCTATCTCTACTCACTACTCTATCGCTTCTCTCTCATATATATATATCTATCTCCTCTCTATATATATATCTATCTATATATATCTATGATCCTATATCTCATATCTACAGCCTCATTATATATCTCTCATATCTCCTCTCCTCTCTATCTCTAATCCTACTATATATCTCTCTCCTTTTTTACATATATCATCCTCTCTCTCTAATCACTATCTATCTCTCTATCTCATATTCTAATATACTATCTCATCTTATAATATATAATATATATATAGATCTCTATCTATTCTATCTATCTCTCTCTATCTATCTCATATCTATCTATCATATCTATCCTATCTCTCTCTTATCTATACATATATCTCTCTATCATCATTATCTCTATATCTATCTATCTCTCATATATCTCTCGTCTCCTCTCGCTTCTATCATCTCTCTCTCTCTATCTCTATCTCCATCTCTATATCTTCTAATCTCTCTATATCTATCTATATTATCTTATATATATCTCTCTTCATCTATATATATACTCTATCTATACTATATTCTATATTCTCTATCTCTATACATATCTATCATCTATTCTCTACTCTCTATATATATATTATGCTCTCTCTCTACTCCTCTCTCTCTATATCTATATATATCTCTACTCTCTCTCTCTCGCTATATATGATATAATATCATCTAACTATATCATCTCTATAATCTATCTATATCTATTATCTCTCTCCCCATACCTATCTATGTCTCTAGCATGCTCTATCTACAATCTCTCCCATCTATATCTATCTCTCTCTATATCTCACCTATTATCTACGATCTCTCTCTATAATAATCCACCTCTCTCTAATCTATATCCTATTATATATATCTCTCTATCATCATCTTCGCTATATCTCCAATCTCTATCTCCTCTCTCTCGATATATATCTATCCTCTATGCTATCTATACTATCTCGTATCTCTCATATATCACCTCTTATCTCCTATACTATATCATCTCTATCTCTCCTCTCGCTACTAATCTCTCACCATATCATATACTCTATCTATATATATCTCACTCTCTCTCTCCTCTCTCTTCCCTCTATCTCTATCTCTCTCTCTCTCTCTCCCATCTCTCATATACTATCTCTCTCTCTATCTCTCTAGCTACTCTCTCTATCTTCTATCTATCTCTCATCCTATAGTCTATCTATATCCTATATCTCTACTCTCCTATCTATACTCTAATCTCTGCTACTATATCCTCTTCTCTCCTATATCTCTATCTCATCTATATATCCTATTATCTCGGTCCTATATATCTACATCTCTATCTCTATCTAATATCTATCTTCTAACTCTCTATATAATCTACTCTCATCTATCTACCACCATCTCTCTATAAGATATCTCTATATCTCCCTCTCTCTATATATCTTCTATCTATCGTATACTACTACTATATCCTCCTCTCTCTCTCTCTTATCTAAAATATCTCATATAACTTAAAACCCACACATAATAT